TGCCTGTTTGTCAGGACCTGAGGGCAGACTATGAAGAGAGACAGTCCAACACATAGTTGCAGGGTGTAAAATGCAGGCAGGAGAAGCATACACTGAATGGCATAACCAGGTATTGTGTACAGGAACTTCTGAATAGTGTATGGACTAGACTTTCAAAAGTCCAGATGGAAGATTCCACAGAAAGTTGTGAAGAATAACAGGGATTATCTTGTGGGACTTCCGGATCCAGACAAACAGGCAGGTACTGGCTAATCAATCAGGCATCATGGTGGTAGATAAGAACCAGAAGACAACAGTAGTGGTAAATATAGCAGTGCCAAGTGACCACAACATCAAGAAAAGGGATATAACAAGTTGGAGAGGTACCAGGTCCTAAAGGAGGAACTAGGAAATATGTGGAAAATAAAGAATGGTCCTGTTGGTGGTAGGAGCAGTTAGGATTATTACTTCTAAGCTGGGATGGTGGCCCCAAGACATTGCAGGAACAATATCAGAACTCTGTCCAGAAGAGATCAGTCCTAGGAACAGTTAACAATATTGTGCAGCACACTCAAACTCCCAGATTTCTGGTGGAGGATGTGAAATTAAGAAGACACATACCACCTATAAGGGGGGGAAAAGATTTTTTTAAATATCTGGACTTCATTTAGAAGAACATCATGATTCCAATTGTTAATTGTAGGCCTGTTGGTTATTTTTACTTGGAGGCTTTCAGTTCTGTCATCTTAAATAAGCAAATATATAGTATTTCTAAGATAATTTATCATTTATAGATATTGTACCATTCCAGACCAAATCACAATATTCTGCTAGAATGATGAAATTGTCATAAAATGATAATGATAAACTATAAGACATGGTTCTTATATGTCTTGAATCTTATATCACAAATACAAACATATTGTTAACTAATCCCACTAATGTAATATAGTCGATCCATCCTTTTTGATGCCTATTGTAGGTTAATCTTTGTGAATCTGATTATAAACATAATTGTCTAGCATTGTTTAGGACTAAATTCCCGGGGCCAGGTATATTGTTTGGAATAGAAACCTCTTCCATTCATGAATGTTATATTAAGTAGTAAATATATTGGCTTGTCTCATATTTCTTTTGGAAATAGCAACCCTACCCAAAAGCAGTAGATAGCATGACTCTGCTGGCTGATACAGCATTAACTATTACAATTATCTTTGCTCTCTTCTAGAAAATGAAGATTCCACTCAAAAATCAGTCCAAGAAGCTACTGTTTCAGAGAAGGATCTATTGCCATGCAGGTAAGATAATAACTGTGAGTCTCTTGATATAAATAATTTGGGTTGATCTTTTTTTTTCATTTTTACTTGCTAACATGCTGCTAGATAGAATCCAAAGGACTATTCCGTACTCCCAAGGCAAGTCATCTTCTCCACTGGCTATGATGAGCAGCAATACCTTTGGAATGCTCACTAGAGAGGGTCTTCATGTATATTTCCTGTTAACTGGTATTGATAAATAAGGCATATGGATAAGAAATAGCAATGTTTTTACCTTTTAAATTTGTTTGGTGTTTTATTTATGATTCAAACCTTAGCTGTATGCTTGATACTAGTGTTAGCTGTAAGGGGAAATTAAATATATAAAAATGAAAACAATCACAGCAAAAATGTTTGTGAACATTTTATTTGTTAGCTGCATTTATTGTTAGATTTATATTCCATCTTTCCTCCAGGAGTTCAAGGCAGCCATCATAGCATTCCTGCCTCCAATTTCATCCCCACAACAAGCACCCTGTGAGGTAGGTGAGCTGAGAGAGTAATTGCCCAAATTCATCCAGGCAGCTTTCATGACAGAAGGTAGACTTGGTCATAGGTCTCCTCTGTCTTAGTTCAGCATCTTAACCACTACTCATTAACTCATTACACATGATTAGTTCCAATAAAATTATTAAAATCTAATAATCTTACTAAAATAACCAGTAGAATTAGCATTAATATGTTCCTAGGACTAAGAACCGTTTTATAGTATTTTTGTAAAATTAATATTACGCAAAACAGCGTGATAGATCCTAAAATAGTTCTTTAAAATTAGGGATGTGATTCTGCAGAATATCATGGAATATAGAGAGGAATAATAGTGATGAAGCTTTAATCAGTTCCTGATTTCAAACATAATATGATACATGCATAAAGTCATATAGAGGTAAAGGAGCAACAGGTTACCACTGAAATGCTTTGTAGGGAATACTAAACAAGTAAGGCCTAGGCAATAGTCTACTTAGTTTTACTTTATATTAAACAATAACTATTTATCGAGTGTATATGCCACCTGACTCCCAAAAATTCTGGGATGTGAATAAAGTATTTAAACA